CAGTTTGTTTACCTGCCGCATCCGCAGGTTCGGCCGATCGCTGCTCCCACTGGCCGCAGTTCACCATCCCAGGTCAATGGGCTGTGGGAAGCGGCGCGGGCCACAGCACGTGCTGGCTGCTGCTTCCCGCCATCCCCATTGGCCTGGAGCGATGAACCGCGGCCAGTGGGAGCCACAATCGGCTGAACCTGCGGACGCGTTAGGTAAACAAACCGGCCCGGCCTGCCAGGGAGCTTACCTTGGCGAGCCGCGTGCCAAAAGTTGCTGATCCCTGACATACAGAATTAAGTGCACACATGACTAGAGATCAGATCTAGTTGTTATAATGCCTAGAACTAAGGCATATCACTTGATATCCCAAATTCACCACCATTTATTTTCATTGGCTTTAAAAAACAAACAAACAAACGACGCCATATATTGTGCTGTAATACTGAGAAGAAGAAAAAATACCCATTTGTTACAAAAGTCCATTCTGAAAAATAAACATTGCTTATTAAGACAAAGTAAAATAAAGAAACCTTTGCCAAAAAGGTTAGTGGTGACAATCAGAATGTATAGCAATTAAAGCATACATGAAACAATGAAAGAGTGCCCTAGCGGTGAGTGTACCCCATGGCACGTGCCCCCTTGAGGTGAGGAAACATATAGCATATGAAGATAAGGCATAATTCAGGCTGAATACTTCAGCAATTCGGGGCGGGGGGGGGGGGGGCGGCGCGGGAGCTTCCTGACAGGGAGAATCATTAGCCTGTGGAATTGTGTAGCCTATTTAAGAGGAACTGGACAGGACTTTTGTAACTGCATAATAGGAACAATCCTGCATAGGCAGAAGAATGGACCAGACAATTTCTTTCCATCTCTAGTTCCATGATTTTGTGATCCAAGACTTCCTTTTTAATACAGTTATCAATTAAATCAGTGTATTTTATAAATTTTAACAGTGAAAATTTTAATTTAGGGGATTGTAAGACAATAAAATTGTTAAGTTGTCTTTCACAAATATACTTACACAATCACATGCCTCTGCATTTCAACTTAGGAATATTTTATTCTTTATAGCCATGACGACATCTAAATTGGTATCCTTCTGATATAAGCTACAAAAGTGGCATTTAAATCTAACAAAACAAAAGACTAGTATACTAAGGATATTTGTGTGTTTATGTTGAGGAGAGTTGCAAGCACAGATTCCTGCACCAGATAAGACAATACTTCTGAAACAAATCCACATGAACAACAAACAGTTCGAAATTAACTGGCTGAGAGCAGTTACTGTAGGAAGGACAAGAAATCTGACAACAACAAATCTGAAGCCTTTTCCCATATCCTTCAACCAGTTTTTTTCCATCTGAGCACATTAGACTAGTCCTGAAGGGAGGTGGGCAAAACAGCATGGCCGGGAAAGCTACATGACATAAGATCCACCCTTCTCTCCCTGATGCAAATCATCTTCTGCTGTCACAGGTGGCTTCTTGAAAGGCACCCACATTCCCTTGTACATATCTGCTGGCCAGCCCAGGCAGCTACCCAATCATCACCCTCAATTTCATGTCCCTGCTCACAACACTGAAGTTCAATCATGGGTCTCACCAGTTGATACATGGTGCTTTCTGTTGAGCTGAAGCAATGGGGAGAAGAAGAGTAGCAAACAGTTAACGCCAGAAACAAACAGGAAAAAAAAGACGACAAGCAGGAAAAGGGCAGAAAGGAATGTTGGGGGAAGATTGTGGCAACTGTTCTGAAGCCATAGCACAAGAATATGTGGTGGCAGGGGAGCTGCCATCCAAACTAACACAGAAGTGTTGGGAATCATTGCTCCAGTCCCTAAGCTACAGGCCATACGTCACTGATCACCTCTGACATATTCAAGAAACAGCAACTACAGCTCTAAAAGAAAGCCAGAGCACCCTGGCAAGCAGCCACTAGTTAGAAAAAAAGAGAAGAAACTAAGTAATACAACACTTGCTAATGTTTAACCATTCAAGAAGTTTAGAGACTTCCATTGCAACATTGTTATTTACAAACATTTGAATAAAGCAAATATTATGACTTAAGTAGCTCCTAAACGTAGCAAGATTTTCCTCATCATTCAGCTATTTCATCAACTATGATTTATGACTGTTCTGGTTTCCGTGGATTTTTTTTTTTTTTTAAATATAAAATTTCTGTTCCGTATTTGTCAGACAGTTTACGAAATGCTGTTTAAGTCATTTACCACAGTTTGAGGATATACATTTAGAAGCAGAAATATCTGGTTCTTGAAAGCAACTGTGCCATTGAACTCAACACGCTGATTTACAGACAAATATAAAATACTAATAGTGTACTTTAAAAAAAAACAAACAAAAAAAACCACTTGTCTGAAGTTCTACTAACTATTGATCCAAGATCATTGTGACCGGAAAAGAATTCGAGGAAAATACTCAAAAATGTGTACTTCATTTTGTGCACCTAACAGCACTCAGTAGTCAGTTACACTATTTCCTCTTTACAATCAGATTCCCTGTTGCAACCTTTTAGATACAGGACAAAGTGACTAAACTAAACTGGCAAAAGGATTGAGGGTCACAAACAGCATCTGAAATGCTACTTTTAATTCTAGATTTGACATTGACTATCCTTTTAAGACTGGCCGTAACTATTCAAAATAAGCGGTAAAGAATTTGCAGTTCTACGTTAAATGTTACAGGCATGTTGCGTAGTGACCAGAAAAGGAATCCTAATATTAAAAAGTGTTGATATATTTAAAGCCTAATAGGGTAATAAAATGCATCAATAGCAAGAATGAAAGTCAAAAGAAGCAGCATTATTATACAAGTTATTCCACAGATCCCTGTTAAAATAATATGCTGAATGTTGGCCACCCACAGAAACAACAGTATACTGTTACACCAGCAGGGTGAAATATATGGCACCCATGGTAGCATCTGACTTTTTTTTATTATTATTATTATTATTATTAAATGTTTCTCTCATTGGAGAAAAGTCTATAAGTTGACCAATCAGGTGACTAACCACTACTACATCAATTCACTTGACTACGCCCTATTTCACAATAACTCCTCTGGGCTGGCACTCCATTACTGTTCAGAAATATTAGAAGAAAAGGAAAGAAAACTGGAGAACTCATCCATACTGATGAGGCATTCAACCACTAGAGGAGAAAATATAAATTAAAAAACAGAACTGGAAATTTGGACAAACCTATTTCACGTCAAAGACTAACATGCTGAGTAAGGGCCTGATCAGCACCTACTGAGGTAAACAGGACGTTTAACTGACATGATGGAAGCAAGACAAGGCACATTATCATACGGATGTTACAGACACTCAGATATTTTCATGATAAACCAAGAGACTGAAAGATACAGTAGTTAACGAAGGAGGTGAGCCTGGGAAATTTAAAGGCCCCACACTTCTTGCGTCAAGCACCTTTTCACTAACCAGTAGATCTTATGAACACACTGTGTATTCAAGTATCAGGGGGTAGCCGTGTTAGTCTGAATCTGTAAAAAGTCTTGCATCTGAAGAAATGAGGTTCTTACCCACGAAAGCTTATGCTCCCAATACTTCTGTTCGTCTTAAAGGTGCCACAGGACCCTCTGTTACTGTGTATTCAGTTATTTTGGACTGGATCGGAAGCATTGCTACTTTATTACCCTTGAATTTAATATATTGGCTCAAAACTATGTTATAATTAGTCATCTTTTCGTTCCTATAAAATGAATGAATATAGGAACTGAAAATGTAACCATTTGTGTTATAGTTATTAAAGCATTTTGTGTTTTGTTAATAGAAAAGGGAGAACATTGTCCTGACTTCAAGGAATATTGTTTAAGTTGTTGTACCCTGTTTAGCCAGAGGGCAATTCAATTATCACCAAGTGGCTTTGAACAACAAACATCACCTAAAAAGAACAGGAGTACTTGTGGCACCTTAGAGACTAACAAATTTATTAGAGCATAAGCTTTCGTGGGCTACAACCCACTTCAGAAGGAAGATTTGATTGTGGCTCAGCTAATAAGCCAGAAACTCTGCCTTCCTCCTACCCCACCCATTACCACAAAAAAAATAAAAATAAAACCCAAACAACAACAAAAAACTGTTCAATATGAACGAAGCCACAAACTAGGCCTCCCCACCACTCCTCTGCCTGATCCATCCCCAGAACTGCTCAGTGCCTAAAACACACAGCAAAGTGGAAGGAACAAAGCACTGACGTCAATTACTGGAGGATTAAATCTAACAGCCAGGAGAGGAAGAGGAGGCGGCCTCATTAGCAAAACCACCACCAAGAAAAACCTAACAACCTATAGCCACATTTACCCAGAGCCATGTAAGTTTTGTTTTCTCGAAAAGAGGGAATGCCAGCACATCTGAGTAGAGATTATGTGTATGGCTACACATCCACGCAACCGTGAATGTTGGGGGGGGTAAGGAGGCTTGCTCATCTCCATGTATTAATCTAGACAGCATAGGGGCTGATGCCTCTTTGAGCAGGTCACATCTGACATGAAAGAGGCCATCCAGAGCTGAAGGGGACGGAGGGTGGGGGAGGCAAGGAGTGGGTGGAAGTTTACAAAGAGACCAAGAGGAGGCTCCGTCCATGAGGGAGAGGTTACTAAAACTGAAGGGGCAACAGAGAGTTTCAAGCGGGGGAAGATAGTTGGAAAAGGCAGGTGGTGGGGTGGGGGTGAGGATAAAGACTAAGGGGGGCAGATACGGGGAACTGGATCTTTCCCGTCCGCACCCCCCAGGAGACGCTATGGCCCCCTCAAGGGGAAGGCGGATTCCGGGGAACTCTTACCCAGCCCATGCTCGGGGACGGAAGGGAGGCAGATGTTCCCCCTCCCTCCGCCCAAGCCCGGGTACCTCCAAAGGAAGGAGGAAGAGGACACAGTCCCACCGCCAGCGAACGGGCCTTGTCCAGAGAGACACCCGGGAGCCCCCGCCTCCAGCCCCAGGGAGCGAGACCGAGCCGGAGCGGCCCCGCTTACCTCCGTTCGCTGCTCCGCTAGGCCCGGACCATTTCCCGGCTGCCGCCGCCGGCCCGTCGGGCGGGAGACGAGGAGGCCCAAAGGGGACGGAGGAGCCGCCACTGAGTCAGCGACAGCCAGCAGGAGAAGGGGACCGAGGCGCGGCCAGGACCCGGGGGACGGGGGCGGGCAGGGCCCGGAGCTGGGCACAAAGACCAGGCCCAAGGAGCGGGCTCGGGCCCCGAGATGGGGGCCCCGGCGGGAGGGAAGGCAGGACCCGGAGGGGCGGGGGAGCTCCGGGAGCGGGTCACAGGCGGTGGGAGACGGCGGCGGCGGCTCCCCGGGGGTCCCGCCGCTCCATTGCGGCCTGGGCTGGGCGTGCGGCTGGGTCCCGGTGCGGCCCGGCAGTGTCGGCTCCCGCTGGCTGGCTCCTCAGACAGCGACTCCAGCCCAGCTCCTCCCGCAGCCGGGCATTCGGATTACCCAGCAGACATCGCGCTCGCACAGCCCCGCCGCCGGCCACGTGACCCCCAGGCCCGGCCTGAGGAACCCAGCACGTGACCTGGGCGAAGGAAACAGAGACAAGCTCCGCCTTCTCCAGGGAAGGCGCGAGATCCCGCCACGTGATAGGGGCAGAGCGAAGGGGAGGAGTTTAGGCTCCCCCTGCCGGAGAAGAGGTGCCCTCTTGATGTGCTGCAGCCCTCAGATGCAGTTGCCAACCTACAAATTTGAGGGTGTCCAGGCTTGGCTGCTGCCCATCCAGAACACTTAGTGCTCCTCTCTGTCAGACACCAGGCAATGCAGAATGCACTGCCCTGCAACCTGAACTCTACCCCCTGGCACTGGTAAGAGCCACCACTGATTGCCTCTATGTTTCAGCCAGGGCTGCCCTATGGTAAGCACTGACTAAATAAACAGGTCATTTTATGGGGTGTATCCCCCCAAATTGCATCCTCTCTGATATCTATATGTTCCCCAACTGCCCTTCACAGTATGAGGGCTATCTGTACTGACTGATGCAGGGATTAGAGGGCAGATGTAGCACAGGTGATGTTCCACAGGGGAATCATTAAGGTTGGTAACAGCTGGCAGCAGTTTATGCAGAGTGGATGAAGTGATCAAGGATAGGCTAGACCGGGGTAGGCAACCTATGACACGCGTGCCGAAGGCGGCACACGAGCTGATTTTCAGTGGCACTCACAGTGCCCGGGTCTTGCCCACCAGTCCGGGGGCCTCTGCATTTTAAATGAAGCTTCTTAAACATTTTAAAAACCTTATTTACTTTCTATACATCAATTGTTTAATTATATATTATAGACTTATAGAAAGAGACCTTCTAAAAACATTCAAATGTATTACTGGCACGCGAAACCTTAAATTGGAGTGAATAAATGAAGACTCGGCACCCCACTTCGGAAAGGCTGCCGACCCCTGGGATAGACATACTGTACATAGCTGCCATTCATACATACCACCCTAAATGCAACTCCTGCTTTGGTGAGGACAGTCTGACAGTTTTTCCTACTGTACCTATGTGCTGCAACCTCACAGAACTATATAGCATCTGAAAGCATAGGGTGTTACATCAATCAGGGAAGGTTGGAGCATCATTCAATAGGGGCACAGTTAAGGTTACAGGGCAGGGCTGGTGCATACATATCTCTATATTTACTGGATTTTAGTGGTTTAAGTATCAGTGAACTTGCTAGTGTAGAAGAGTAGGAGGCAGTGCTAGTCAACCTTGACTCTATATTAGTGAAGTTTTTGGGTAGTGAATAGATGGCAGTGTTAAAATGAAGAGTTAACAGGACGTTAGGAATTTGTCAACATCTGTGAGATGTATTTCCTGGTCTGATGCCTGAGATTACACTTGAAATACACTTGTGGCTGAATGACAACTTGTGACAAGTATATCAGCTGTTGTTGGCTTTGTTTCTTTCTTTGGTTTCTTCCTTCGATCTTTGTGCAATAATTACTTACCAAAACTGTAGTTAATAGTTTGAAGGAAGGACTCCCCCCATTATTTGTCAAAAGATTACATGTAGTTTTAGACTCCTTTTCCATACTTACACATGTATACATTTAACTTCAAAATAAGATTCATCTTAGCTATTATATAGCACTTTTTAGCAGATCTCAAAATGCTTTAACTAAAAGTCACTAGAGGACCAGCTCATTACCTACTTATGTCATATCTACTTAGGTTCTGTGGGTCAAGAACTGGGTGAAGCAGTCACTTAACACATCAGTGAAAACATGGATCCAAAATCCCTCCCCTTCACCATCCTCACCATTCAGATTCCATACCCACATATGCAGGAGTACTTCAGGTCTGCCAACCCAGGATGAATTTCATCTAGGAGGCATATGGCACAAGAGAAAAGTCCTTAAGATAACCTCTGCTCTTGACTTCTTTCCACTTAAAATCTCAAATATAATATTAAACTTATTTTTGACATACGTTCACAGGGTATTGCTTATAGCATTATTCCTATACTTGCCAGTTCAGACATTAAGTGAATTCATGGCCGCAGCAGCATAATCTAGGTACACACATCACTTTAGCATCTGAGCATCTGTCCCTTTGAAAGACTGTAGGCATGAGATTTAAATAGAGGCTTTTTTTCTTCCTTTAGTAATTGTCCTTGTAATCCTGACCCATCTACAACTGCTTTCTGATTTTGTACAGTTGTGTGCTACTCAGATGAGGTCCTACTGTTTAAATATTTATACTTAGCATGTTACATTGCTGAACGCACAGAAAAGGATGGACCCTCTTCCTGTTGAGACTGTTAATTACACTATGTTTGTAAACCACCTTAAGATCCTCTCATGAAAGGCACTAGAAAAAGCCAATCCATCATCATCAATGCATGAATTACCAGTGCTGATTTGAGTATTTGCTGTAATGCTGCTGCTCTTGGACTACCCCTATTCCTTGGTGTAATCTATTTTAAAGCTGTTTTTCTGTATTTCCTTTTTTTCCCCAATTCAGCTAATGAAGTGTTTTGTTTCCTATGACATTTTATTACATGCATATTAAAACAAATCCATCTAGAATTGCACACAAATTGTTGCTACTCTGGACATAAGGGCCACTCAGAACGTTATGGCACCAGCAGGGATAGAATTCAGTTCTCCTGCTGCAAAAGCACAGGCCCCCTACTCCTTGAGCTAAAGGACAAACACTGTTGGGAGGTAGGCGTACAGCTGTGCATGTCTGATTCCAACTAACGGAACAAAAGTGCAGATACATACTAGCCAGCTAATTACAGTACTTTAAAACAGCAGTCTTTATTTAGACACTAGGTGGTTAGGTCTATACCCCTGCACAGAAGGTAACTGTGGCCTGCAGGAGCTTCTGCACTAGTCTGGCATAAACATAACAGCTAACTTATAATTAAAAGGAGGTGCACATTAGCCACAGTGGTTACGGCAACGTCAAGGCTCTGAAGCATCTTTACTACTGCTCAATATCCCAGGGGAGGATTCAATCTCTATTCCAGCTCATAAAAATCCACCCCTCTCAACCCAACAATTATGGTTGTGTATGGATCCTGAATTTTCCTTTCTTCCTTCACATTCATGGTAAGGTTGGTTATATGGGTACAGGTCTTTTTTTTTTTTTTTTTTTAAACATAAACAGAGCATTTGTACTTAGGCTCAAAATTTCAACTTTGTGTGGATTTACCAGTATTGTGTCCTCCTAATACAGATTGCAAGAAGATGCTCTTTCAGAGTCCTCTTCCTTACTGCATAAGGTCTTACATTTTAAACAGTTCCTAGTCCTGCTTTTTGTTTGTTTATTTTTAAAGAATATTGAAGCAGAGTTCCAGGCCTTTGACTTCATGTCAGTGAGATTAAGACCTCTGCCAATGAGTATGATCCAATATTTATTTCTTCATTTAAAAAAATAAATAAATCAACAGGTGCCCCTCCAGTGTTCCAGTGGCAGCAGTCCAGCACAATAGCATTTTTCAGTAAATGTTATCTTAAGCTCCAGAATCTAACTTTTCATTTAAAATTAAATTATGTCTCTATCCCGTACTGTTGCAAAGACCCCTCAAATCGTGAGCAGAATGTAAAAAGATAAGAACGGATGCCCAAGTCTACTGCCAGCCTGACACATTAACTCTGAGACAACTGCATTTCAACAGGGTTTTGAATCTGAGGCTTTATTATAATTTAAATATCAATATTATTCAAAAATACTATCAAGGAGGAAACAAAATCCTAATTGCCTGAAAATTTTGTAACATCTATAGTTAAATGTAACCCTGTAGGTTCCTATAACTTAAAAGTGCTTGCAAAGAAAAGAAATCTGTTTTTGCAGTTTACTTACTTTGTGCATTTAATAGCACTTTGTGTATACGCAGTTTCTCCTTTGATGAAAATACCATTATAAACATCAACAGAGGAGCAAAAAAAAGCTGGAAGCATTTTTAAATTTGCAGTCCTTGATTTTTTTTTTTTTTAAAAAGTTTTCACTTTGACAGAATATCCCTTTTAAATCCTTCGTTTTTCAAAAAATCAAGTTGATTATTTTACTGGTGATCAAACCATACAAGAAAGTTCAGGGTAAATTAACTTGTAAAGATCTGCACAAGCAGCTTTGAGTGGCATCTCAAGTGAGAGGAGAACAGGGCTTGGGAGAATATTTTTTTTGTATAAACTCAGTTTGACCCATGAATGAGGATAGGAGGTTCAGTATAATTTCTTTTTAAAGTGAACTTCTTAAATTAGAGAAATTCCAATTTATGAGTGAAAATCCCATCTACAAATCCATCTCACATACAGCCCTCTTATGTGATCTCAGTTAGGGCACCAAAAATCTAAGTCCAGCTCTCACAAATGTTTGATTTAATAAAACTCCAAACTAGAAAATCAAGTTGCCTGTGCCTTTTGTTTTTCCACCCATCAGCAATGTTTCCCCTTGAAATATGATACTTCTCCCCAGGCTATTCTTCCACTAGACTGCATCAATTGCTTCAGTTCAATTAGCAATGGCAGTTTTACTTGTAATGGGGAGGCATTAAATTGAGCCAGTTTAAAGCAGTACAGGTCTCAATAACTATTGAGTAAATGTAACAATTTCTAGTTAGTAATCTTTGTAAATTAATGATCATTTGTGCCTAAGTTAGAGCTTTGGAAGATGGTGATT